TATCTATCTATCTATCTATCTATCTATCTATCTATCTGTTCGTCTGTCTATCTATCTGTGTGTCTATCTAGCTATAGTATCTGTTCATCTGTCTATCTATCTATCTATCTGTCTATCTGTGTGTCTATCTATCTATCTATCTATCTATCTATCATCATCTGTCTGTTTGTCTATCTACCTATCTATCTATCTCATAAAACTCCTGATAAAGGGCTTCTGATAGTGAAGCACTGATGTGTTGAAGCGGCCGATAGCCTAAATGCCTTGAAGATTAGTTGCGACTGGCTCAGATTCTGTAAGTCAGCCCTTTTGCACCTAAGGATTCTGCTGGCAGGGCTGTGGTCATTGGATAAGGCTGTGGGAAACTCACCTTGGCTGTTCACTCTTCTCCAATAATCACATAACCACTAGACGGCTTCACCTATCAGCTGACTACTGACTGCCCCCATTTTCCTGCTTTAATTTCGATTAATGTTCAGATTTGGACATAGAAAACTGTTCCAGAGTGGCAGCTAAGGGTTGCAAGTTGCATCTTCTGCACTTGTCTGCGAATGAGTGTGTGGGTGATGTGTGTGTGACTAAGCCAAGTTCAACTTTACAGTGGCCTTGACTCAGGTCAGAGTTGAGCGTGCTTTGGAGCCATGTCCAAAGGAAGAGTCTCAATTTACACATCAACTATACGACTCCGTTGAGAAGTGCTATAAATAACAGCTTGAATGATTGGTGGCTGGCTCTGCTTTCCATGGACTGTGAGCATGCAGCGTGAAAAACTAATGGTAGTATGTATAGTGAAAAAAAATCAGCGAATGACACTAAACTTTGATATTGTTTTTTTTCATATGTAATTGGTATATCTGTTCAGTGGGGCCCAAAGGACCGAGACCAGCAGCAAAAATGCTTCTATTTCTCATATTACCAGCAGAATAATTATTTTATTTTATATATATATTTTTGCTATTTATTTATTTATTTCCATCTGTTGCACCTAAATAAAACAATAAATAAATAAACAACACTTTCCATTTTAAATGATATTATCAGCAGTAAAATTATTTTATTTGATTTCTGCATTTATTTATTTCCCTATTTTGTACTTTAACACATAAAAATTAAACTTGATAAAAAAATGAGCACAAGACTTTTCATTTTAAACTATAAGCAGTACAATTTTTTTATTTCCTTTTTATTTGTGTATTTATTTCCTTTTTTTGCAATTGAATATAAATTAAACACAATTAAATAAATAAAATTAATATGTTTAATTGTTGTTTATTTATTTCCATCTGTTGCACTTCAAAAACAATAAAATAAATAAATAATAATAATAATAATAATAATAATTATTATTATTATTATTATTATTATTTATTTATTTTATTGTTTTTGAAGTGCAACAGATGGAAATAAATAAACAACAATTAAACATATTAATTTTATTTATTTAATTGTGTTTAATTTATATTCAATTGCAAAAAAAGGAAATAAATACACAAATAAAAAGGAAATAAAAAAATTGTACTGCTTATAGTTTAAAATGAAAAGTCTTGTGCTCATTTTTTTATCAAGTTTAATTTTTATGTGTTAAAGTACTTCACACCTGCACCTGATCTCCAATCAACACACCTGCCACCATTCACCTCATTACCTACCATATAAAAGTAATCACCTTTCGCACCCTTATTGTTTGGTCTGTTTGTTGGCATTCTCTACACATCGTGGGATACACTTCCCTTACTCCTTACCAGCTCTACTGACTTGAATCATCATGTCCCGATCTACCTTACAGTGAATTCTCCATCTGTTCGCTCTGAGAGCCCTTGAACCTGGAAAGGGAAAATAGTACCAAGTTTTTATGACTTAAGTCCAACGATCTATCCTAAAATACTTTCTGTTCACCTGAGTTTATGCCTGATGCCTACGAAGCCTCCTTTAGTTTCAGCTACCTGTGGGTAAAAAAAAAAAGACCCTTTACTTTCCCAGTTCCTTAAGTTATGATGTTATGTTGAATTCTGAACTTAACTCATTTCCTGTCCTGATCCCAGCTTCG